TGTGGATCGGGCTTGGTTGCAGTCGATGCGGTTATGGTTGCGGAAACAACAACGGCAAAGTTGAAATCGGATTGGAATTCCTATGACGACACAAAGGATAATGATGAGCTTCGAAGGGAAATAATGAAGTACATGTACATAGCAAATTTGAGCAAGCCCTAACGCGAAGCGCGATCAATAGACGATTGATTCCAGCGCTATACCTCAGTTGATTCAGTTAGTTTATAGACCACTGACGGTAGACCACAAAAAAGGACAAACATCCGATAAATTCACATTTTTCTGATTTGTTGGTCTATTGATAGGGTAGGAGTCAAGTAATGTTTGTCGGTTACTCAACCAAAAGATACATGTAATGTTAAAGATGGAAAGCCCTAATTTCGAGTGACAATGGAAAATGAAAAAACTCCACCGCGCCGTGTGAGAGTCGAACTCTGGTTTACATTCCCAACGCTCTGCCAATTGAGCTAACGGGTCATCCGTCGATCAATCGGCAGGGAGGTCGAGTTATCATCACACACCAGGCGGCAAAATCCCTCCAATTCCCGAAGTCACTCGAAATCAAGCACTATACGAAGCATCACTAGCAGGATGGTACTATACAGTCTCCATATTTTCCCGTTCGTCCTCTGGCATTGTCTTTCCTTGTATACGGAAATGTCCGCAGGCAATCATACATTAGATTAGATTTGGAATGAGGCCTTCGGGCTATCTGCCTCCACACTGCGACCTTTTCAGATCTATTGTGTCTGCCCTCAAAATGGATTAGAGTTCTTCGGCTAGCCCCGCCTTCTCTATGAGACTCCATAGGCTAGCTTTCAGATCTCCTGTGTATCTCTGGGCTCCTGGTTTTTCCTCACCCAGCGTAAGGAACCTTAGTCTTGACAAACCCTCACAGTGGCAAAGTATGTGTACTGCTGTTCATTCCTCTTCTTGACAGAACCTGCACAGCAGTTCTTCAGTCAGACCTATCGTACTCATGTGTTTGTTGAGCCTACAATGCCACTAGTATTCTAGTTGAACTTCGTTTCTGGCTTAGTAGATATTCTGTGAATGTTGGCGATGGTTTTTTAATAAACTCTTTTGCCTGTCTCATTCCTGGCGAGTTGTTCCACCATTCTTGAGATTTAGTTTGCATCCATGATTTGATACTAGTCTTTTGTATAGCTTCCGCAATACCACAGAAGGGTTCTGGGCCATTAAGAGCTTTGTTTGCTCCTGCTCGGGCAAGTGAGTCTGCCTCTTCATTGCCCTCGTACCCTGTATGTGCTGTACCCATGCTAGAGTCAATCATACATAAGAGTCAAGTAATTTTTGTCGGTTACTCAACCGAAAAGATACATATAATGATAAAGATGGAAAGCCCTGATTTCGAGTGACAATCGGAAAATGAAAAAACTCCACCCCTTCCCCCCCCCGTGTCAGAGTCGAACTCACAACCTCTGGGTTACATGCCCAACGCTCTGCCAATTGCGCTAAACAATTGGAGGAGGTTTACAAGATCACTTCCACACCCTTCGATACGATGTATTCGTAAGACGTACTTCCAACTCATTGGTTCATCTGAGAAGTCTGCCCTTAACCAAAGAAGTTGCTGCTCAACACAGCTATCACACGTACCACCAGGTGCAGGAGTGAATAAGAACCCATCCATTTGAAGCTGGAGTTGGAGCAATCAGGGGCTACTTCCTTCACAAGATACCATGCCCCACCACAGACTCTTCTCAAATTCCTGTCATGCAAATGCCGCAGGAAGAACTTGCTCATGCCAACAAGCAGGGCTTGAAGTGCTCTACTTTCTGCAAGTAATGTCGAGATAAGACTTGCCTGAACGTCGTCCATGTTGAAATCGACGAGACTGACGATGAGGTATACCTCGACCAACCCCCATACATATTACTATCGTTAGGCTCCGATCTGTCCCTCGTCCGATTCCCCAAATTTTTGTTTTTTAAAGATAACGAGGTTACTGGTAGACCTGCAGATTTCGTTCTGAGCGTAAATTGAGGCTCAATAACTGCTCTAAAACTTTATTCCTAATAAATTTTCCCGTGGAATGAGTATTGCAGTCAATATTCAGCTCGACTAAGATCTCGGCTAAGATGCACTATTTTCGAACAGACTGTGGAAATTTGAAAAGTAGAACGTTTTTGCAAATATCTCCTAAACCGTTTATCGCACCGAAAACAACTTTTGTAATAATTTTCTACTCATAATAACCTATCTTATGCGAAATTATTTGCCATTTTGACCAATAATGAATAGTGTCGACATAATAAAATCTTAAAGTTGAAAAATCTTGATTTCTAACACCCTATTTATCTGTAATCTTTTCTGCTAGACCACAAGTGTGATGTATCGATGAAATCAGCTGTTCAGGAAGAACCCAAAAATGCAGTAATATACAGAGTGTCCCATCTGAAAAAACCCATCATCAGCCGATTTCTTGGAATTAGAAAACCCTATAGATATGAAAATAATTTTAGGTGATAGTTCTCGTGTATTCATATAACTTGTATTTCAATTTTTTCTATATAGGTATGTTTCGGTTTGGCGAATATCGAAGGAGAACACACTATTGACTCACCCTGTGGTGTTCCACAGGGTGTCCTATTTAAAAAATACCAGTTTATGTAAAATTTTCAATTCAACGATGCTTTGTTTGCATTTTCTAGTACTAGATTCTGAATGCCCATGAAAAATACTTCACTTCTGCCATTTTGTAGAACCAATATCAACTGAGATAGCTATTGAGTCAAATATAAACAATCACCCTGTACATCATAGAAAGATAAATTAAAAATAGGTGAATTCGACTATTGTGTAGAACTTCGTGTACAACCTTATTCATATTGCTACTTTGTTAACGTTAACGTAACGTGATTTCAAGGAATTCGTAGAAATCTCATCACTTGTGAAGATATTTCCACTGAAACAGCTTCCGTGATCATTCTTGGTAGAAAGATATCGATAAACTGGACTGAGTGAAAAATTGAAGCAGATAAGTGTTACCTATGGGTATATTTCTTACCTACCTATACCTATACCTACTCATTCTATCTGTGGTTCTGTTGAGATGCTGCAATTTTTCTCTAGCACAGTCTAGCGGAATTATTATGATTGAAGAACATTTATCAGGCGACCGAGAGAACCAGGAAGAACGGCCTTCTATATGGATGGATATACTATACAGCATAGCACGCAATCAAGTCTATCGAGACGGCACGAGCTCCGCTTGAACAACACGCGACCCGTAACGAGTCATGAAGTATACAGGGTGTTGATATCGACAATATTATGTGGTCTCAATGCGGTGATCTATTCAATGTATACAATATCCGCCATAAGTTTCGGACACCTACTACTCCCGAGTCACCTTATCTCGATTCACTGAGGTCACGTGACGAAACCCTCTCATTAGGTTCATTCGGGTTCCGATTTCAGAACTAGTGCGCAGTCGTTTCCTTTCCAGTTTTGTCAGTATCAACGGAACAGCTACACAGGATGTCCCAGAATGACATTCGATACTCCGCAAGGTAATTCTGCTTATAGAAATGAGAAAACATAAATCCACTCAACATGTGTCAGGAAATGCTTTCTAAAGTGTGCTACTACAGCCCTTTGAAGGTAGGTATCTGAATGCAGTTATCCTCAATTATCTTTGTGTAACCAGGTCCTACTCACGAAATTTGGTAATTCAGGATAATTTGATCTCACAAATCGTTTCATATAGCATTGAAAACTTTATATATAAAGAGTTCGAATTTTTTTTTCACGATTTCTCCCATCTTCAGTACCTACCAGAAAATGATTATTCATACACTTACACATACTCATATGAATTTCATGACTGGTTCATGTTGCTAAGTCAATCCCACGGTTAATCCTTAAAAGTCATTATTTCAGAATGAAGGAATTACTTTCATGATTATGTATGCATTTAGAATGAAGAATTTATGAGCATCTATATAACTTCTACTATTGTGAGTTCATAAATAAACAAATAAATAAATGAATAAATAAACTCTTATAAATAAAAGATACTCCTGTAAGAATGCCTTAAAATAAACTGTTTTCTAGAAAAGTCATTTTTCATTATCATTACACGCGCCCTCAAGGAGCAAATTCGGACATAATTATGTTCGGAATATTTCTTTCTCATTTCAATCTGTAGAGTTACCTCCAGAGAAGTATACAAATGTTATTCTGGATCACCCTTATGCTTTCTCTTTCCATGATGATCTTCTTTTGCAATGGTTTCCACCTCGGTTTCCACATTCCAAATATAATCGGAAACTCAGTTTTATTGGGTCAAAATATTCAGGAACACTCCGTACTTGGTTTATTGACTAGATCATCTGGAAAAACTGCGAACTTCGTTCAATGCTAAGCGATCATGTGAACAGAGGAATTCTCGAAGTGTGAAATATTTTTATTTCAGAACACGAATTTCCGTAATACGTTCGAATGTTTAGTTGTGCATGGATCGTTATAACAACATTTAATTCTCATCAAATTGAGGTTTGCTAAATCCTGATGTAATTTGTTATACACCTAATACTGTAAATTTAATTATTTTTCCCAATCCCAGTAGCTTCATAAGATGTCACCTTTTAATTGAATTATAATATTTTCTGAAATACTGATCTCATAGTTATTATCTTAGCCTATCTGACACTTTCTTTGAATTTATAATGAAATTCAGAGCTTTCAGCTTCATAGTGTTTGTCATCAGACCAGACTGCCTTCTTTTGACGGGTAATGATTTATTCCTGAGCAACATTGCGGACACTTATAACGGACAGAGTAGTATTCATCTCAGAGATAACATCCACAGTGACATATACAACATCAAGAGATTTCATCCTATAAGTGTTTTATATTCTATATCGTCGGGTTTGCAGGTTTGACAATAATTTATGTTATATCCATAACCATAATCTCTCAGAGCCAACTTTGACAATTTTGAACACTTGAAATTTAATCACTGTTTCCTGTAGGTCCAGATGCTGAAGAAATGATGGACAAGCAGCTACCAAAGAAGTATTCTTTGTGTTTCAACGATGGCAACCATTGCATGGGGGAGAGATGTAGGGTCAAAAATATCACCTAAGAGTGCCAAACAAACATGAAACCAATTACATTCGAAAACCTCCGTCGATTAATGGGCGGAGGTCGAAAAAAGAAAGAGAAAGAATCGTCGTTCAAAAGAAGCGATTCATTCAAACGGATATCAATCAGAAAGAGCTACTTGGACCGTGGCAAAAAGAAACATGTTTCGAAATTAGAAGTGGCCACTCAAACGGTCACAGAAGAAGAAGAAATACTAACAGGGACGAAAAAAGTCGATTCGTCCGTGCAAGTCGACAAGGAGGATTTTTGTCCGACAACCGTCGATTTTACCAAAAACGAAATCAGGTGCAATAACAAGTACAAAGTGGAAACGTCCAAAAGTGGACCGGGGCAGAGTGTGATAGCATACGGACAGTGGTTGAGAGGCATCCGCAAAGAAGACCTACCTACTTCTAGTGGTATCAAGGGCTCGGAGCGAACTATAATCTATGTACCTGCTTCAGATGAAACGGCTCCGGCCACAGTCATCCGACAGTTGTCTTCATCGCCCGTACTCAGGAAGAAGTCACCAGGGACGAAGAAGAATCCAAAACCCGCCAGTCCCAGTTTGCAGAGGAAAGAGAGCAATGATTCCGCTGTCGAAATGTTTCCTTGGGGAGACAGCACGGAGGTGAAGAAGTCTCCTCTGATTCGAAGGCGATCCAGACAGTCTCCTATTCCTTTGATGCCAGACTCTGGCACAGAAGAGCTGTGCTCTTTGTCCATCAGCTTAGGCAGGATATGGATGGACGCGCCTCCCGGAATGGCTCCAAGGAGTTTGGAGCTGCCTAAATCCTCAGCAGTACCACAGCCGGCACACCATTCGTTGGATAGTGCGCTCAAAGACTTGCGCGATGACCCCATAGTTATAAATCGGTTACAGAAAAGGCCTACTCCTCCCGTAGGCCGGACTTTGTCTTCGACTAGCAATACGACGGCTTCTACCGGTTTGTTTTCTAGTAAAGACTCGGGTTTTTCTTTTTCCATTTCGGCTCCCAAACTCAGTGATTTTCACGCAAATTTTGCTCCCTCCTCTTCCAGAGGTTTCTTTAGGAAAAAGAAGCCCAAACCAAAGTTATCAGTGAGCAGAGACGGGTACTTCAAAAGGACTAGTGGCGCTTTATCAACGGAAACGAATCGGAGTTCTTTGAAGAGGAAGAGCAGTAGGAAAAAGAAAGGGAAAAGGAAGAGTCAGAAGAAGAGCGGTACTGCGAAGAGCGACTTGTATCAAGTGGTTGTGAGCAGGCCGACCAGGTGTTTGCGCACCCTCAAACTAGACCCCATGATTTTCGTGCCCCCAGAGAAACGGAAACCCTGCGTCGATCGTAAACCCTCCTTCAAGGCTGGCTTGACCGAGATTCGGAGTTTCAATGCCTTGGATAGCTCGATGTACACGACCAGGAGCATGGAGAGTACGGACGAAGGTCTGTACGAAAGCCTGGATTACCTCTCCGATGAGCAGCCGCTGAGCGGTCGCTTGTCCAGGATCAGTCTCGGCGAGGACGAGTACGACTATTTCACGTGTGTGACTCCCGTTTCTGAGGAATCGGTCGCGAGTGCAGCGGATAGTGATAACGGCAGTTCTGAGTGCGCTAGTCCGTACGTTCCTGTGGGAGTCTCGCCAGTGCCTAAAAGGAAGCCCGTGAGGCAGAAGAGGACAGGACTGTCTCACAAAAGGAGCATCACTTATGTCGTTAAGCCGACGGTCATCAGAGCGCCTTCGACTCTGCGCAGAACACCGAAGAAAGGTGAGTGATCTTCTTGAATACCTGATATAGGTAGCTGTTTTTTTTTCCAAGACAATATATCTCTTGCTCGATATACCTATAGGACAAAAAATCATCAAGAGAGAGAAGTATCAGTGGCGGCACGAAGTCCGTTTGAATATTTGAACTTTTCAATAGGACCGGCGAGTGCGGCAAATCTCTTTTGATACAGCTGTCTCACTGATTTTGTAAAGACTATACCATAATTCTCGCATGTGCCCAATATTTGTGCTCGGTATCATCATCAGTTATAGTCTTCTATGGGTAAATCATGCCAAATCTTAATCATGTCCATCGCAATAGCTGCTTCACAAAATTCTACAAAGCACAGATCCAGCCAGTTTAACAATATTGTTTCTATGGGGTTCAGCACCCACACGTATGCTGATGGTCTGAGATTCTATTCAGAAACGAGCCATTCGACATGGTTGGTGAATTCACACTCACTGATTTCTCAACATCATTGAAACACTGAAAAGAAAAGAGTGAAATTTCACTCAAACTCCACTCAATAATGTCTCGATTCCAGTCCATGCCCGATTGAGTTAAAAATTCACTCTACTCGACTGAGTGAAATGGTAATTCAATAGGTGAAATTGAGGTATCAGAATTGAGTCAATGTCCCCAGCTTAGATTTGAATATATTTCAGTTCCGCGATTTCTTGAGTGATCTTCAACTCATAATTGAATGTCAAGAACAGTGTTCATACGTATGCTGATGCTCTGAGATTCTATTCAGAAATGAGCCATTCGACATGGTTGGTGATAAACTATTAACAAAACCACAACGGTTCATTGAAATTGATTGAAAGACAATCGAGTAATGAATAAGAACATGATTTTTCATGGAAATTTTAATACCCTGTATCTCGAAAACGAAGCAAGTTAGGACACATGTTTATATGAACTTTATTACCTAAAATATCACAAGGAATTACCCCTTGAATGTTTTCGATGTTATTCAGATACACCCTGTATATTCGTTTCGAGTATTTTAAGGTTTCACGATGATTTATTTTCAACTGTTTTGATCACCTGTAATATCCGACCTGAAATTTATCTCATTGGACATGCTTTCCCTTTTTGTCATTCACAGAAGTTATCTAACAGCAATTAAATGTTGTTCAAGTTCTTACCTTGGGTGTGTTTGTCCGAACAAATCGTTACAATAACTCGAACAATTGCGTGAAATGAAGATTAGCCGACATGAAATGCTGATATCCCACGCCATGACTGATGGGATTCGATCTAAGCGGGTCAAGTGAAAGTCTTCCTTATTAGTATTTTTGTGAGTATTTATGTTTGTTTTGATTATCATCGCCATAATCGCGATTGAAATGAAAAGCGTATTACTCAATTTGATTTGTGAGTTATATTCGAGGTTATTTCGAACCACCTATATACAGTACAAGTTCAGCTACAATTGTTATTATTAAATAGCACTGCCATGGTTATCGTCAGTCATCACTAGGCCTGGGAAAAATTATCGATATATCGATAAATTTCTCGATTTCAGAAACAATGTCATTTTATTGAAAATTTCATACTAGTTATGTTCAACCAATCAGATGCTTTATTTCGACATTGTTACTATGGTAACCAGCAAATTGTTTGGAAATTTTTCATCCACATAAGCCTCACCTCTTTTGTTTTCAGAGATGTGAAGAAATGTTGAATCAAAAAGTTGTTTGAAACCACCCAAACTTTTATTTCGTGAAGTTGCTTCAAATAATTGAGTTATTGATTATCAAAGTGTTTTGAAATATGTTTGAGAAAGAGGAATATAGATATATCGAAAAAATGTCAAATTTTTCTTAGCTTTGGACGAGAGTTTGGACTTTTTGGGAACGAATCTGTGCTCATTCCATTTGTGGAAGCCATCCTTGTTTTCTGAATCACATTGTATAATGCTTGCACTTTGCATGGAACGAATATACGCTGAACGCTGATTGAAACTAGAAATAAAGCAAATAATATGAAAGAAGTTTTTCGGTATTATTCTAATACTCACCCTGTAGAGAGTATCGAACGAGTGTCCGAATGTAGGTCGGAATAATCTAGACATTAATCAAGTTATATCCCCAGAATTTGAAACGGATACCTACAAATATATACGATACAATGATTACAATGTCTACTGTATGTGACATGTTGATATAGATTCGGCCAATGGCTATATAAAGTGGCATTATCGTAATACCTCAGGCCAAATCGGCTAAATGCACAAATTTGGGTTAATACCATTAGTTAATGAAAGCGGATTTGGGGACTTAACAATAATATGTAGCTCTTGCGAAGAGACATCATTCTTCGCTAGTGTGGCTGTTATAAACTATAGCCACTCACAAAAAAATACAGGGTGTCCCTCCGGAAACTGCATCGATCAATATATAGAAAACCGTAGGTGGACCGAGTTTGAAAATTTGGTTGTTCACTATTGTTGATAAGTGCTATCCGGCTAAAATATTTTGAAGATTGTGGCACTTCCGGTTGTACCGGACCCCAACTTCGTTATTTCAAATGCAACACCCTGTATTTTATTGCATTTTTAGATTCTTACTGAAGAGCTGATTTCATCAATGCATCGCACATGGGGTCTATCAGGAATGATTACAGTAATATAGGGTGTTCAAAATCGAGATTTTTCAATTTTAAGATTTTTTTGTGTCGAAACTATTCATTATCGATCAAAACGGCTTACATGTCCCTATCTTAACTTTCGATTCACTATCTACTGGAATTCAATTGGAAAAAATACAAGGTGCTTCAAGATTCAGAATTCAGTCGACCGTGCGGTTGATTTTTCACAGGAAGAGATATTTCAGCTGGCAGCTGCGGGGTACAATAATAATTGATATTTTTTTTATCGCTTGGAGCGCACGAAAGGAAATCCCTATAATGCTCAAAGTGCATCGTGCGTTCCTAGGGAGGATAGGGACAGGAGGTAGGTATTGGAATTTTTTTCGAACTTCTGGAGATTATATGTTGTTGGGAATACTTCCTCAGGCAATGAATTCCAGAACCTAGCCGTTCTATGGATGAAGCAGTTTTGATAATGTGCTGTTCGACATCTTTCGAGGTTGACAACAAAAGGATGTGCTGACTGGGCTTGTCTAGTTCGTCTGACTGGTATTGCTAGTGAAGGGATGATAGCAGAGATTTCCGCAGAACATTTCCCGTGGGAGTATCGATAGAAAAGTGAAAGGTCGCCGACTCGGTCGCCGACCTACGGTGTTCCAATGTTGTCAAAGAGTGAGTGAGTGTGGAAATAATGCTGAAAGGACGATGAATCAGTTTATCGAAGGTATCTTATGATGATCAATAGTTCTGTAATAATCATGCAAACTTCAACCACCAAACTTAATCGTATTCGCTACTAAATCGGAAAGTATGTAGACAGACAGATAGGTTATATCAGGGGATGAAGGAACATTGAAAATTGAGCATTACTCCGGCTAAATTGCATTTTCTACTGTTGAAATATATCACTCTGCAGAATAGAACGACTATTTGGAATGAACAATGAAATCGTTTTCGTCTCTCCTGGAATCGCGTTAGCCTTGGTAATTTACACGGGATTAGGAGAGGCGAAGTTAAATTTGATTAAGTTATACAATCTCTGTAATAATCGTTGAGACTATCTTCGAGTAGACTTGCTCGGCGTGAGTTATATAGATTGACTATGAAATGAGCCGCGAACATTCTCATAATGACAAAATTTGTTAAGCTTCTTTATGAGGGAATTCGACTTCACAAAATGTAATAAGTTGGCAATCAGTGGATATTTACTTACTGTTTAACCATTTTGACCAAATTACAGATCGAATAATATCAATCTGCAGTATAAAAATAAATCAATAACTTCATTAAGATAAATTAATTAAAACATCCTGTAACTCATTTGGTTGCCAATGTCACCAATGGTCACTGAGAACGGAAATTTGTCAGGACAAATACAAATTTGCGATACAAAAAATCCATTTTTTATGTTGGAAACGGGAGCAGATTCGACCCCGAAACGTCCAAAGCAAATTCTTGAAACTCAGTGACATTTTGGGGCGAATCATCTGATTTGTCCTTTTTTTTTTTTTCTTTTGTCGAGGTGGTTCAAATCCTTAATGGACACCATATGGTCCAATCCCACCCCGTTTGTAGGCTCTCTGACCATGTCTCCGACGACACTTAGGCCTATGGTGGCCCATTGTATCTTACCTAGTAGCTCTTTATTGTGCCCACTCAATTATCTCTGAACCTTGAACAAGTCTGTACAAATCCTTCACTGGATGTGAGTTGAATACTTCTGGTTCGCCAACTGGTTGCCCAAAGATTTTCTGTCTTCTGCGGTCCAATGCCTCACATCGGCACAGTATATGTGCTACTGTTTCTGGTTCCTTGCCACATAGTCTGCAGCTTGGGTCGCCATTGTACAGTCCCATTCTGGCGAGATGCTCCTTTACTGGCGCATGGCCAGTCATGAGTCCCGTAACAGTTTTTATCTGTGCTCTGTTCAAGTTGAGCAGGTCTACAGTTCGTTCATGACTTGGTTCCTCAATGTATTGTTTTCCATGTCTGTTTCTTGGGATGTTTTCCCAGTAGCTCTTATATTTTGCCTGAATGAATCCAGTCTTTAACCGACACTCGTGCTGTTAGTTTTGGTACTCCAAGAGTCTGTCTTGGATCTGGCTCGTTGTCCGACCCTCTTCTTGCAAGTTCGTCAGCCTTCTCATTGCCAGCGATCCCCTGATGACCTGGCACCCAGATTAGCTTGACGCAGTTCCGGTCTGTCAGAGTTCTCAATTCTCTCTTGCACTCCCATTCCATCAGTCGAGATGTCACTTCCTGGCTTTCTATTGCCTTAAGTGCCGCTTGACTGTCTGACATAATACGTTTTCCACAGATCTCCTGTTATTTTTTTCCGCACATTGGAGAATTGCGTACACCTCTGCTTGGAAAACTGAAGCGTACTTCCCCAATGAGTAGCT